TCCTTGTAGATCCAAGATGTTAAGCCTTTGTCGGACCTGTAGTTGGCAAATACTTTTTCCCAGTCTGTAGGTTGTCTCCCTGCTCTCTTGATGATTTCTTTGGCTTTGCAGAAGCTTGTCAGTTTAATGAGGTCCCACTTGTCTATCTTATCTCTTATGGCCTGTAGGTTTTGGGTTTTGTTCAGGAACTGGATACCAGTTCCAATTTCCATAAGGGTGTGTCCTGCATTTTTTCAGGTTCTTATGGTTTGAGGTTTTACATTTAGGTCTCTGATCCATTTAGTGTTAATGTAAATCTCTTAAATTGTAGCCAAGTGGTTAATTGCAAATGGGCATGCCAGCAAAGGTACATCTGCAGGAGACAATTTCATGTGTTGAGATCACAGGAGTGGGGAACAGGCCCTGGGGCAACAAAAGGGGTTGAATTGTTAAGAAGAGTACTAATTAATCCATCAATAGATGATCCTTGACCATTTACTCTGTCAGGCATGGTAGGTACTGCAGATACAGTGGTGACCTCTGCTTTGATGGACTTATATTCTGAATAATCACAGGGTTTTTTTCTGTGGAAAATGGGACTTTATTGAAGGGGAGGTGGGCATAATCTTATTTTTATTGTGGGAAGCTCACTCAGCAGTCATGTGAAGCAATCTTTGAAGGGGGGCACAATTGAGAGCAGAGAGACTTAGACAAATTACTTGTTATTAATTCAAATGAGAGAAGCTATATGAAGGCACTAGAAGGAAGGATGGAAAGGAGAAGAAAGTTTTGATATGAAGCTTGATAACTAGCTTGAATTCGTAAGTCTTGGTGACTCATTGAACCTCAGAGGTAAAGGACAGGGTAAAACAAGGTATCTTCCATATGTGAGAGGGATGCTTCCACTGAGCTTCGTGTCTAGCCCATTTTTCCAGACAAGCAGAGAAGTTTGGGTGCTGAGCTGGGCATGGTGGTCTAGGAGCTGATGTGCTAAGATTGAATGGTAGGAGTGTGTGGGATTTGGTATATGACTCAGCAATCTGAATTATGATTCAGCAATTGGCTTTGGCCTCCCTCTGGCCTCTCCCCAATTCAGTCACGTCCATCACTCATCCATACTTTCAACCTGAGCTCTGAAACCTACTCATTGGACTTAGTTCTTTCAGCTGTTCGAGTGTCACTCCCAATTCTTTCTCAGTTGCCCAAAGTGGGCAGATGGAATTAAATGCTCCACTAGGTAGCTAAACTGAAGAGATACACTGGGGGAATTGTGGACATAAAAAGAGATGTTGGTATTACATTTTTCCATTTTTAATTTTTCCCTTAGCATAAGATGAAATCCTCTCATGGTCCAGGCATCCCCCAAATTTCAGAAGATGTAAGGGTGGTCACTCATGCCATGGCAGCTGCTTGGCCTCACCATTAGATCTGGTTTTTCTAAATGGTCACTTCTTCCTGTATCCGGGTATCTCAGTCTTAAAATATATTAAAATTTTTTTTCTCCTCTCAGTGTATTTTAGAAACTTCTTTTCACCATTCACACTTATCTGACTTTATGCTTGCTTAAAAACCCCAGGGGCTAAACTTAAAAACAACCTGATCATGGGACACTGCCTCTTGGGTGGGGGTGGAGGGGGAGTCTTGAGATGGTTGGTCCACTACCTGACTCTAGCTGAGATAATAAGTAGGCCTCCGGGTGTACCACCACCCAAGATATGCCATCAAAATCCACCCCACTTAGGTGCAGCAGCTCACACTGGCTCCTGTAATCCTAGAATTTTGGGAGGCTGAAGTAAGAGGATCACTTGAACTCAGGAATTTGAGACCTGCCTGGGGAATACAATAATACCTCATCTTTTGGGGTGGGGGAGACATCCTGTGCCATGCCTGCCTGTTCCCCATACCAAGTTTCCCGTTTTAAACTATTGCACTCAGCCTAGAAATCTGAAATGGTTTCTTTGCAGCAAGAGCCTGGCTATTTCCCTACCTGCTGACTTTTGAAATAAAGTCACTTTCCTTCTGTTATCTCTCGTCTCTCCAGTTTGGCTTTGGGCAACAAGTGGCCAAGTTTGAGTCAGTAACACTCTTAGTTTGCCTCATCAAAAGCAACTGTATCACTGCCAAAAGTTACCTTTTTTTCTTCCTTTTAGCAGCACATCAAATCCTGTTTGACAGTTGCTTGTTCCCTTTCTTTATCTTCATATCTCAGACAAATGATGCATTAATGAACTTTGGGAAATACAGGACGAAGCCAAGTTAAAGTCAAAATGAATGACTGATAGATGAGATTGATATGATGCAGTTTTTTTTTTTTTTGCACTGTTTTATAACTAGGAAGGAATAACATAGGCATAAAACATCAGATAGCCCAGCTGGAAAGTAGAGAGTGGGGATAATTCTCTAACTGGAAATACAGCAATAGCAGATTTTTATTGTGCTCCCAAATCTTGAGCAAGGCAAGATAAGGAAAAAATAAGATCTGTAGGGAAGCTAAGAAATTCAATTTTGGCTAGCCGGGCTCGGTGGCTCAGCTTGTAATCCCGCGCCTTTGGGAGGCTGAGGTGAGTGGATTGCCTGAGCCCGCGGGTTCGAGATCTGCCTGGGCAGCAAGACCTCATCTCTACAATAAATTAAAAAATCAGCCAGGTGTGGTAGCGCATGCCTGTAATTCCGGTTACTTGGAAGGCTGAGGCGGAAGAATCGCCGGAGCCCAGCAGGTCGAGGCTGCGGTGACCGGGAGTGGCCACTGCACTCCAGTCTGGGCAACAGAGTGAGACTCCAACTCAAAAAAAAAAAAAAAAATTCAGTTTTGGGGATATTAACTTTGATATGTCATGGGACATGCAGATAGATGGTAATTAGAGTAATACACAAAATAAAAGACTAAGATGTGATTTGAGAAGAATATAGCTTTAGGTCAAGCCCTGAGATTCATGGCTAGCAGTGACTCAGAATGTCTGACCTGTCCTATGTAACACAGAGGGTTGTAAGGGTTTGGCGAAATAACATGTGAAGGTACTTTGCAAAAGTATAAAGCATTGTGGGCATTCATTTTTAAAAAATTATTATTTTGAGAATTACAGCATATAGACATCCTCTCTGTGTTTCCTATAGTTAGATACAACTTTTTTTTTCCTCCCAAGAAAACAATGATTTTCTCTGTGTTCCTGTGACTCTGAACACTCCCTCTATATCTTTGCACAGATGCTGAGGTCTGAGGTTTCTGTAAGCCTCTCCCTGTTGCTCCTCTCACTGTGTGCTCAAATAAGCACAGAAGTATATCGCGGCATCCCCTAGCTGTGACTCTGAGATCTTGAGACTGAAGGATTTGGCTGCTCTCTGGAAGTTCACAGAGAAGCGATTCTCTGTTGCATTCTGTTGCTTATAAGCTTCTTGGCGAATAATGGGAATCATCTGCCTGCTGGGAGGCTGTTTGTACCAGAACAAATAATAATTACTGTCACTCGTGTCATATATGCAATTCAGGGTCACGGTCTCTGCCTCCTGCACAGACATCTCTGGTTGAGACTGAGAGACTGTCTGGGTCATGCTGGATTCTGTGGGAAAGAGAAGAGAAAGGACTTCAGTGGGGTATCATGTCAGAGAGAGAATCAGACTCACAGGCTGGTTCCCCTCCCCACCCACCTTTCTTCCCCTTAAACCAAACTTCAGACAAAATCTATCAACTTTCTTGCCCCGAATAGTTTGGTCCAATGAGGAGATTAGATTCCTTTGCTATTAATCTTTCTTCCTATTTCAGCCCTATTGGGTACTAGCCAAGGCCTTCCTTACCGAGACAGGTGGAGAACACGATTACCCACAGTAAGCCAGGGTATGCCATGCCAGCAGCTTCCTCCTGCAGGTTGAAAAAACTTCTGTTCCGATCTGAACCTTGGGTATCAGCTGCACTTGACATGTCTGTTTCAGAACAGGAAATGAGATGTCAGGTGGCCTGATATCTCTCTCAGAAAAGCTCACCAATACTTTTTGTTTTTTGCTTCAGAGAATAAAAATTTGGTTATAATGTTGAATGGAAAACATGCATGGCCAGTACAGTAACTTATTCTGAGATAAGAATGAAGAGAATAAGCAGCTGGTAAATTGTTTTTGCGAAGATGAAATTTGGAGAGGAGGATGAGATAGGTGAGGAAAAAGACAGGCAGAGTTAATGCAACTTCAGTTATCTCTGTAAGTTTTCTTTTTTGTTCTTTTTTTTTTTTTTTGAGTTGGAGTCTCACTCTGTCACTTGACCTGCTGGGCTCCAACGATCCTTCCGCCTCAGCCTTCCAAGTAGCTGGAACTACAGGCGCGCGCTACCACGCCCGGCTAATTTTTTGATTTATTGTAGAGATGAGGTCTCGCCAAGTTGCCCAGGTGGGTCTCGAACCCGCAGGCTCAGGCAATCCACTCACCTCAGCCTCCCAAAGGCACGGGATTACAGGCTGAGCCACCAAGCCCAGCTTCTTTTTTGTTCTTCTTCCTCCCATATTTCCTGCCTGCCTGCCCTCTCTCTCTCTCTCTCTCTATCTTACTTTCTTTCCCTTCCTTCCTTTCTCCCTCCTACTGATCTTTCTCTTTTTTTATTTCTTTTTAAAATCTCTACTTTCCTTCCCTCTTTCTCCTGCTTCCTTCTTCGCTCTCTTGCCTCTCCCCCAAGTCAATGTCATAAAATGGTCTTTGGGGTATGATAACACAGGTATTGGTTATCAGTCATTCTTTGATGAAACAGTATTTTAATCATTTTGAGATATGACTTAAAAGAATAACAGTAACACTCAGATAGTTCAGAGAAAATTGAAACCAGAATTTTTATGTCTAATTGCCTACAATTTGCTGAAGACTTGTCTTTCCTTCCTTCCTTCCTTCCTTCCTTCCTTCCTTCCTTTCTTTCTTTCTTTCTTTCTTTCTTTCTTTCTTTCTTTCTTTCTTTCTTTCTTTCTTTCTTTCATGTGGCTGTGTCAGGGAGCCGTACAGTACTGGTGTAAGTGTTCCTGTAAGCACTTGGTGCTTTTGTTAATGACTTTGTGAAGGAAGAATCCAGACAATTAACATAAAATTCATTTGTGAACTTTCTGTGTTACACATCTGACAGCTTTTCATTGGCATCTTATTTTTCCTCATGCACACAGGCTTCTGTGAGAGGGGAAAGGTCAGGAATTACAGTTTCCATTGTGCAGAAGAGGCAACAGAGCAAAAATGAAAAACTCATAATGCAGAGAATGCTAGTCTCATTTGCATTAATTTTTTTCTCCCTATTGAATTTTTGTCATCCAGTCTTAGATAAGGCCATCTCTATGGTCCAGCTTTATGTAAATTCCGTCCCCCACCAGAAGATAAGGAGGAGAATAAAAGACTACGTTAAAAGCTGACTTACTGTGTAGGGAGTGGTAGCCTTAACTCTCACTTTCTGTTTATTATTTCTAAGTGGAAAATAGTGTTAACGGTGGACATTTTGCCACAGATGTTCTTAACTCCAGATGACATTTTTTTTTTTGAGTAGGAGTCTCACTGTCACCCAAGCTGGAGAGCAGTGGCACCCCACCGCAGCCTCGCCCTGCTGGGCTTGGGCAATCCTTCTACCTCATCTTTCCAAGTAGCTGGAACTACAAGCATGCGCCACCACGCCCAGCTAATTTTTTGATTTACTGTAGAGACGAGGTGTTGCCAAGTTGCCCAGGTTGGTCTCTAATCCCTGAATTTAGATAATCCTCTCACTTCCACCTCCCAAGGTGCTAGGTTTACAAGCGTGAGCCACCACGCCCAGCCCAGAGGACTTCTTAAAGTACAGCTTGCTGAGTTGCTGTGGGTGGTGCAGTTTTCTTTCTTGTTTACTTAGTGTTAAATTTCTGCTGTACCTACTATTTTATGGGCTAAGTCACAGGAAATTGGTAAGCTTGTTATTACTTTATAATTTCCTCTCTTCCCCTCTCCAGTCTTTATAGGAAACTAAATGATTGGGCTGTCTTCTCGCCCAGTGTCAGTCCAGCTGAAGCTATGAGTTCACTAATGAGGCTCTCAGGAGTACATGTTTTCTGCCTCTTGCCTGGCTCAATGTGCCTGCAATGCTGATTGGAAATCCCAACCCAGAGGGTCTGTTTTGCCATTTTGGATCTTTTTGTGATCCTCTGGGCCCAGGCAATCAGAACTTTAGCATCTTACATTAATCATCCAATCGGCTCTTCCAACTTCCACAAATAGTTAATCAAGTTATTGGATCCTGAAGATCAAATAAAATGATGTATATAAAATGACTTTTAAGTGGGCAAATATAGGGGTAGGGTGGGCAGACAGTTTTCATTTTCTGGAAGCAGAACCCATTCTGGGCAGTCTGAGAAATTCCTGTATGCTTCCTTGGAATGCCAACCTTATCTGGCAACTACTGTTGCAGAATTTCTCACTGGAGTTAGCTAGTTAGACTAAAAAGTAAAAACTAGGAGAAAAACACATGAGCATCACATGCCTACTCCATGTTCTCATGGGGGAACTTTTACAGATGCAGAAACTGAGACACATCGGCAATTAACAGCACAAGTGAGAGAAGTTGCTCTAATCATTGTATCATTCCTTTTTAGTTGGGTGGATCTTGACTAAAGAACACCGAGGATCCCCAGTGCTCCTCATCACCTTAGTTCACTTTTGGGATTCTCCTGACTCTCAACTCCTTGTCTGAAAATACAGTGAACAAAAAAACTTTTAAAAAAGTTTTCTCTGATTTGTTATATTCATTCACAATTTTGTTTTGTCAGAGGAAGTACTGAACATTGTTCACCATCCCCCAAGAGGGGGTCTCAGTGGACGGTGTGCAGCTTGGTGCATTTAGGTTTTTGAGGGGGCCACATAAGTTCCCTGCAGCACAAAAGATAAGTGGCTAAACCCTCAACTGGGTGGTCTTGTGAAGAGAGTGGTGGAGCTGGCCCTTGCACTGAAGGAGGTTGCTAATCTTCTCTGGAGCTTCAAAGTCCCAGTTAACATGGATAGAAACACAGGCATCAGATTTTTTCTAGATCCTTTTCATCCTGTACCTGTCGATTTGAAATGCTGTTCAAATAATTATAGTAGGTGATAAAATCTTATTTCCTTCTTGGATGGTGTGATGGTTAACTTTAGGTGCCAGTTTTGATGGGATTAAGGAATACCTGAAAACTAGCAAAGCATTATTTTTGGTTGTGTCTGTGATGGTTTTTCCAGAGGAAATTGGCTTGTGAGTCTGACTGGAATAAGTGGGGAAGATCCATCCTCAATGCGCTCATCCCATCAGCTAGGGGCCTGGATAGAACAAAAGTAAAGAGAAGGTAAATTGATCTCTCTCTCGGAGCTGGAGTATATTCTTCTGCTCGTAGACATCAGAATTCCAGGCTCTTCAGCATTTGGGTCTCGGACTTACGCCAGTGACCCCTGGGTTCTCAGACCTTCAAATTTGGACTGAGTCACACTACTGGCATTCCAGGGTCTTCAACTTGTAGTCTGTTGTAGGACTTCTCAGCCAACATAATTGCATGAGCCAATTCCCCTAATACGTCCCTCTCATGTATGCATGTAGTCATCTTATTGGTTCTATCTCTCTGGAGAACCAATAGAAATGGTCAGTTAGGAAGAGCTTTCTTCTTTCTTCATTTGATAGTTAATTTCCTTAAAAATATAATATTAAAGAGTGGATTAAAAATTTCATTTCTTCTTTAAATATTTTCTGTAAAAGATAGAGATCAGCTCTCAGAACTTCTGGGTTCCTCTAGGTTCCTGATAACATGAATTCTCTCAGCTCACATACAAGCTGAAGTCCCTAGATCATAAATGTGGTTCCTAAAAGTTCCCCAGTGCTTTGATTTTTCTAAACTTAGGAAGGTTTTGATTCCAGAATGTGAAAATATGACCTGGACTCTACAGATAAAGGAGGTTTTTTTTTTTTTGAGTTGGAGTCTCACTCTGTCGCCCAGACTGGAGTGCAGTGACCACTCCTGGCCACTGCAACCTCGACCTGCTGGGCTCCGGCGATCCTTCCGCCTCAGTCTTCC